AACGAAGACTAGTTGATGCTAGTTGATGTGGGCCGGCGCTAATCATATTGCATTTTTATGAAGCGCATTATGAAATGTTTTCTAAGGGGTAAGGCAAGTGAGGCGAGAAAGCTGAGGTGGACAGTCGCATCCTAAGCAGCTATTGGGTTGTCTTTGTTCTCTTTCAAAACATGTACTGCCAGTCGAAAATTTCACACCTGACAACAACTGATGACTTGCAGGCAACGGCAGTTTAGCGTGAGTTAACAAGCGGTAAAAAGTAACCGCGCTGGTCCAAAAGCCGTGTAAATGACATTTTAGCGAGTTGTTAGGGTGGGCAAAGGAAAAGGAGATAAGATATACCTTTAGCGCACATTATCTGTTTTCAGGCATCTGAGATATGTGAACATGTTCAGACATTGGTCGGCCAAGTTATTTAATGGTGGCATATGCTCGTCATAAAGCATGGTTGATGAATGCCTTAAATCGGTACTGGCATTCAAGATGTAAACGGTGTCCGAAAAGGAGATACCGAGTTGGCTTACGAAACGTTCAGTGGTCAACTTTAGCATAGTTATGTCCAGAAGAAGCTTCGGCAAAGCTCCTCTTCCACCTGCGCACCAATATTCACCTGTTTTCTTGACGATGAGTAGTTCATGTGCCTTTTGCCGCCACTGTGACGCTTCTGGATTTCTGTCCCTAAGAAAATAGGGAGATACTCGTACAGTTTGTCGGCCGAGGAGTCACTCACTGAAGTCAAGGGGCCTTTAGGAATGGACCCAACTTGCGACGTTTTTCCTTGACCTTTGAAGGTAATGATGTGGATACCTGAAAGTTTCTTTGAATTCTTGCTTAATCGATGAGAGGACTCTCTAGCACTGTACACCCTAGGTTGCAGTCGTTGAACACGACGTGGATGGATATATAGGTTTGATGCCTTCAGTTGTCACGGCCCACCTTGACACTAACCTCATCTCATTCAAGTAACCGTTGATATTTTTGTATTACCGTTCAGCTCTTGTGGTTCAGCCTTAGAAAGTTCATTTGAAAACCATTTGAACGCTCATACGACACTTCTCACATCCCGTAACACCTAAACTGAGGTATGCTGTTGGGGAGACGATCCGTACCATTGAAAGCCTCAGCCTTCGCGTTGTTGTCCAGATCACTAGGAAGAATGGGGGGAAAATAATAGATGAAATAAGGCGAAAAAGGTACTGATCTACCGACAACAAAAATGTTGAACGAAGGTATGTAAAAACACTACCTTTTACTATTCAGATGTAAGCGGAGTTTCGAAAAGACTACGGACAAATGAGGCTGGCTATTTGTCGAGTTGAGGCTTAGGTGTGTGCATGAACCCGCATTTAGTACGCTAACGCAGTATGCTTTGTTCCACTAAACGCTGACACGAATTTTGTACACCTTTCGGGGAGTTGTGTCATACGATTCATTTGAACCCATTCTATATCGCTTTTCTTCCAGTGGTACAGTGATGTTCACTTCATTATGCATCTAAGGCAACCGCTTAGACGGATGAAAAGAGTATCTTCTCAGAACCCAGTGAAGGAAATCTTAAGAAGGCGGTTAATAGTCTGCACCAATACCGGGGGAAATTAGGTGAAGAGTTCTCATATCTTTAATACAACCTGGGGAGCCAGGGGATCAAAATTTTGAACATGAGCAACTGAAAAATATCTTTGTACAGGTGGACATAACTATTCAGTGGGTTATGAGTTTCCTGTTACGAGAAGTGTGGCTGCGTGAAATTGTAAGCCCTCAGGAACTATCTCCTAACTGACTAGTACAGATATACGAAAGGATCAAGGTAAGATACTGAACTCAGAAGGACTTGCACAAACTGTGCGAATGGATCTTCTAAAATGTATTTTCTTTTAACACGGGTAAGCATAACATAACTTTGTTGGATAATATTCATAACAGCCAAGATCCAACAATCTTGGTCTGGACGTGGGAAATAACTAGGCCGTGCCAATTATATAGTCTCCGAACTTCGCCAAGTGACGCACAGTTAAAGGTTGGATCAAGATAGCAAAACATGGTTTGTAGCAAATCAGTGGTAGATTCGTTACAAATTCTGTGGTGCTGTCAAGGCGACAATAAGTTGTATCAAAATTAGAAAAATACCTCGGCAGTGTCGTTGGGTAACTATGCAGTCCAGGTGTTCTTGGGCACAAATGCCTACCATGCAGCGAAAACTGGTTAAACAAATACAACTGTTAAGTGCTTCAGAGTCGGTGACAATATTCTCGACAAAAGAAATCAAAACTCTATCTAATAGAATCAGATGAACAAACAAACGTTCCCAGTAAACAGCCAAATCACAGCACAATCGTAAGTTGAACCAAAACAAAATGTCGGGCGCAGTCAAACAACGTCACTTTGTCGACAGTTCAGCGCCACATAATCAGAAAGCGAAACATTCATGATAAGCCTCAATCATACAAATGCAGATGCTGAGTACAGAAGTCAAAGATGACAGTCAAACAACCAAATAACATTGCTTTGGCCAGGGTCAAAGGCACACTATCCACAGCGAGGGTAGGAATATTCAAACAAATGTCAGTACTGTCAGATGGGGTGCTCAGGAGGGATCTTCAGATCGTTATTCATTTACAATGTTTTTACAAGTAGTACCCGCTTCAAATCAATAACTTAGTTATCCGGTCATTGTACTGAGGAGAATGAATTGGCCTTCTCTGGTGAGACATTTCCCTATCCACATGTCAACATCCGTTAGTATACGGGTCTCCCATCAGCACGGGATCCGAGCTGACAACTTTAAGAAAACTAAAACTGAAAATATGTGAAGACCTTTACGGTTCATTAGTAGACCCGATTCGTCAGAACACTGGGTCTCTATGTCTAAAGACCTCATGATGGGTGGCCCTCTTCCGGGAAGTTTTGTAGTCGATGTTGTTGGACTAGCATGAACAGATATGAACGGGCACAATACTATTGTGAGCTTTAAGGTTTGTGCGGATTCTGAATTTCACACGGATTTTCCAAATAGGTGAAGGGAGCAGTATATAAAATTTAGTTAAATTTTTGCTGATTTTCCGCAGTAATCAAATATCCCTCGTGCCACACACGATTTTTAAGGATTTTTGTTTATACGTACAATCCGATACCCCTCAAACACCAGTTATTTGCCGCAAATGACCAGGATTTCATCCAAAGATTGATTTCACATGATTATCATTGTTTGATGAGTGGTATGAATGTCTCGACTTCTCGGTAAATAATTTGCGCCGGTTCGGCGAACAGTCCCAATTTCCGGATGCGTACTGTTCGAAATCTATAAATATTTGCTGTGACTTTAGAAAGAGTGATATTCTGCGCTGCTGGCATGCCTGAAAAACAAAGTAGGTCCAAGTCTTGTTGAAGAGTATAGAATTAAACATGTTCTAAGATATCCACACAGTACTAAACTTATTTACTTTTGGAAAAAGGCCATTAGGAATTTTCATTTAGAAGTCTGAGATATCTCCAAGGCGAGCTACGAAGAGTGTCGTGAGAATGAGGCGAAAACCATGCCACTGCAGGCTGAAAGACATAGGGCTTTACTCCCTAAGCTACCGTAGATTACGTGGTGACTTGATAACGGCTTACAAAATACTAAGTAACCCAAATCTTCCGAACAGCGGAATCCTCCCTAACGGCCACTAAGACGATCCTAGTGGTAACCCAAAAAGAGAATCGCCAACCAAAGAGGGTTTAGGATTTGTACTGCTGCAAAATTGACGGACGCAAAGACCAATCACTAATTATTCGGACTTGTAATATACCCACGAATACGAGACCAAGGAAGAACACGATAGCGTAGTCGGATTGAATAGTATATTTGGATGGTTATGCCAAAATACCGATGCGTTCCAACTAACTGGCTAGAGAGTCGAATACGAGCAGTGCAACGTAACATGACAGCTTGCCAAGTGGCGAGGATGCTTGACCGGGTGCTTTCAGCTTAACGAGTCCAGTTAAACTATCAAGGTCAGCATCAATGGCGAAAGTCATCAAACCTTAGGCTATTGATTTTGGGGAAGTGTGTGACGCCAAAAGCGAAAACTCGTGTGCCATCACACTTCTCTCTGCGAGTTTGCGGCCACTTTAACTTATTGCCTGCCGAGATTACCACTGCCCGTCTATTGACAGCTTCGAGAAGAGGTTGGACAGTTACGCGGCGACGCACGGTTTGCGCCCATCCAGCCGGGATGTGGACTAGGCTGACATGACCCAGTAACTCGGTACGGCCAACCGTTACCGAACACTATAAAACCACTATCACTGGGAACTTGGCTTAAACTTATACCTTCCTATAGACGCCCCCTCAGGTTACCGCCTCATACTAAAAAGTCGCTATATCCCTACTCGTCCTGTCATGTTGTTTATTATTCTTCCTTCTGACTTTACGCCCTCAATCTTTAACAAGGGTTCTTCCTATCACCTATTCCCCATAAACCTACCAATGTTTCTTCTGTACCGTTTCCGTTTTCCCAATGCTCCTTTCTTTTTTCTTTCCTTTTCTTTTTCTATTTTGTCTTCTTCTGCACACATTTTTCGTCTCCTTTTTACAATCAGTCCGACCAACTGTCTGCTGGCACGACACTTGGGGGACCCATCTGCACCACAGTCCTCGGAAGAAAAAACAAACAAAGAACATTCCCTGCAAATTTGACCAACACCCAACCGCCCATAGGGTTAACCAGAGCTACAGCAGCCGAGTGGGTAGACATACAGCATCGGAACCCACCAAAGACCTGGAACCGTTCCGCAAGACCTAGAAGCGAGCGCGAAGAAATCAATTGGTTTACACTAACTTGTAAAAAGATATTGGATATCTCTTTGAAGAACGTATGAATTGTAAGTGTCTTTTCGCAACAAGTCACAACAAGCCCCAAATAGAGTTCCATAAAGTGCTCATGATCACAACTTTGTCCAACGAACAATGTGTAGCATTCTGGCCACTGAAATTAACTCTCAAGTGGCCTTACCCAGACAATCCGAATCCCAAGGTCGTGTGCTTAGTTGACGTTTTCTTGTGAGTGCTGTTACTGAGGGGATTCCGGAATAGGGAGATTAAGCTTCAAAAGTCATATATTGACCGGGTAAATCAATGAATGCTATTCAGTCGTTAATCTTATCATTATTATTATCATCATATTCTACCGGTAAGGCTGATATCCAGGTTTCGCTACATTGCTTGGTATCTCCTGCTACCATTTGAAGTTTTACGTAAAACCTATCCCCATAGTAAGATTTTATGATAATGTTTATTTGCCTGCACATCCATTTGTGCTTTTGGTTTGAGTCCTCGTTGCATAATGCACATCGGTAAAACGTGTTTGGGAAATACGTCCTTATTTTTAAGATGCCTTGTGGCACATATGTTATAAGATTTTCTCTGTATCGGATTGTTACTGGCTTGAATCATTGCGTAGAACCTACTAAAGAGGGCGAAGGAACCAAATATTTAATAAATTTGTATAACAAACTGAATGTTAATGCAAATCTAAATAACGATTCCTTTAGTCTAAACAGCGTTAGATTTTTTGTTTAAACTTAGCTCATATTTTCGTCAGGCTAACATTACACATGTTATCACTTGTAAATCTTAAATTTGTCACTATCTTGTTGAAAACTTATCACTGGCAAACCGACTCAGCTTTAGAGTTTGTAGAATTGCTCCCGAAACTTGTTTTTATCTCCACCAGGAGTGGATATTTTCTACCGGTAAGGCTGATATCCAGGTTTCGCTACATTGCTTGGTATCTCCTGCTACCATTTGAAGTTTTACGTAAAACCTATCCCCATAGTAAGATTTTATGATAATGTTTATTTGCCTGCACATCCATTTGTGCTTTTGGTTTGAGTCCTCGTTGCATAATGCACATCGGTAAAACGTGTTTGGGAAATACGTCCTTATTTTTAAGATGCCTTGTGGCACATATGTTATAAGATTTTCTCTGTATCGGATTGTTACTGGCTTGAATCATTGCGTAGAACCTACTAAAGAGGGCGAAGGAACCAAATATTTAATAAATTTGTATAACAAACTGAATGTTAATGCAAATCTAAATAACGATTCCTTTAGTCTAAACAGCGTTAGATTTTTTGTTTAAACTTAGCTCATATTTTCGTCAGGCTAACATTACACATGTTATCACTTGTAAATCTTAAATTTGTCACTATCTTGTTGAAAACTTATCACTGGCAAACCGACTCAGCTTTAGAGTTTGTAGAATTGCTCCCGAAACTTGTTTTTATCTCCACCAGGAGTGGATATTTTCTCAAAAACAAAGCAGTCCTAAGTAATATATTTACGAGTTTTAAATCCCCTCTGGTAAGTGTATATCAGTAGGACATACCTCACACTTTTTTTTCACACACGAATTATTCAAGATATTAATACAATTAGTGAGAAGAAATCAAGTGTAGCAGCATTTCTAGGAAGTGGAAGAATAATGAGGTTAAGAAAATTATTTTCTCCACTACACTCGGTTTTGAATTTAAAACAAAATTCTCACGACCACTTAAATGTATGTTTAGTGACTCGCAAGTGCGCGTCTGAGCTACTGTGTTTTTTCCGGCTACACATGAACACACGAGAAATAATAAAATGTATGAATAAAGTTGATCATAAACTCATGATTGACGTAAGAGGAATTCGCTCGAGGATTCTACGGCTACTACGAATAGGTAAGTCTTTATAGGAGCCCAGAAACCATTAGCCCCGTGTTTTGATCAGATTACATTTGAAGAACCCAACAGTATGGAGAGAGAAAGTAAAGCTTTTAATAGAAAGACAGTACTGGCATTGGACAACTTAACTGCTTAATTGTCTGAAAAACACCTAAGCTTAATGCATAATCATAAGACTATAATGTAAATACTCTTCTGGCGTATGGAATATACTTAAAGACCCTACTGGTAAAAAAACCAGTAATGAAGCCTACCAAAACATGTGTGCACTAAACCAGTTATTCACGCGAAAGCTTGTCAACGTAATCCTAACTTGTTCTGCACACATAACAGTTTTCCTAAATTCACTGAATTAAATGTATTCGAATGCTTAAAATTATTAAAACCTTCACATATTTTAGGAACAGATAGTATGTCAGGTATTCTGTTAGCAAGTGCGTTGATATTCTGACCCATTCATCCATAAGCCTCTTTAATGAATCCTTTACTGCGAATGATTTGCCAACCTCGTGGAAGTAAGTTAGAATAGTTCTTGCACCTAAGTACGTATCTTCTGGAGCAGGTGTAAAATTCTGACTGGCCGATACTACCTCACCATTTCTAAAAGCGGGAAAATTACTTCAAATGTTTGAACCTCCATTGCAGGCTTTCTGTGATCCTGGTCAGTTTCCCTACAAATCCAGCAGTACTTTAGATGGCACATACTTTTACGTCATAATATCATTGCCAGTCTCAAATAAGGTGTCATGTATGTTAGACCTGCCTTTTCAGACCATAATCTTACCTTTGACTTTGTCCCTATACTCCTTTTATTGAACAAGTTTACCAGAACTCATATGGAGTCTTTTATTGCAAACTGACTTCATTCGTATTTTTCCGAGAGAAAGTAGTGCACTTGATTCACAGGGAACAGCTCCACTTCTTTACTTATTAAGGCTGTTGTGTCTCAAAATCCTGATCTTTTTTTTTCATCTTTTGCATGACACCTAACTCAACCAATAACAATTTTGTCATTTATGTGTATGACTTGATATCATGCTGACTATGTTCTCTTTAGATTTTTCTCGGCTTAATAACTCCTTGACTGGAATTGGTCAATAGCTTTCCTTGAGTGGCCTCACACTCGATCCTGGCAAGTGGTTAATTTCAGCCTAAGATGTGAAAAAGGCTTAAGTAAGCTGCCTTAGCATTATGAATCTCCTTTTATTGGTGGCTGTATAGTAGAAAATGTATCTGGTGTAACCCATCTTGGTCTGTGATCTACTAATCTTTCTCAGTTTTCTATATTCCAATGATTTTCAGGGAGACCCTGCGCATGACCTTTTCAATAAGGAAGCTGCATATGTCTGGCATATCTCAACCTCTAGTCTTATGCTTTATTAACTACTGTATTCTGCCTATGCTTACTTATTTTTCCCCCTTACTCTTTCTTGAACTCCGGATAAAGGAATATTCTTATTGCGTAGGATTGTGAATACTGTCAGTAGAATTAGTGGTGCATCACTGGCCCTACTCGGAAACATGGTTGGGGATTAGCATCAGAACTCTTATAGGCAGTTGGCTGCAGATGTTTTATATGATGACAAGCATCCTCTGCATCTTCACCTCTTTCTGTGTCTGTCCTTAGAGAAGACAAGAAGCAATCACATTAAACTATATACACATACTGGGTACAAAAATTCAACCATACCTTATTTAACTTGTGTATTTTAGGAAGAAAAGTATGTTGAAAACAGTCTTATTGATCAGCTCTATAATGGTGGACAGTTGTCCTGACCATGAATTCGTTGGGCATTTCAAAAACCTTATTCTATATAATATATTTTTAACCAACACCACCGTTAACATATTTGAATGTTGTAAAATGAGTAAGCTAGTGCATTATCGTATACTGAGAACTCTGTACTATAAGGGAAATTATGGTTGGGGATAGATCAAATATTTTATTACTGTTATCAGACGACAGATAGGAGAAAAATCAAGAAAATTTGTGTGAGAAAAGGCATTTATTTAACAGGTTACTAGATCTTAAGCAATAGAATGCTTCCGACTAGGTTCAAACAGTTTCCACTTTTAAATATCACTGCATACTATACACCATTTTATTTATGTTAACTGTATGTTTCCGTACGTGAACTCTAATTGTTTGACATTATTCCGAAAAAGTTAGAGTTTCATATAGTTCTTTTATCTTACTGTTGTGATGATAATGATTGGGTGTAGCTAACACACTACAAGAGTATCTAAAAAGTCATTTTTTAAAACTTTTTTCTGCAGAATATGAAACGCAAAATATATAGACTTTCTGGAATTTTACTTGAGACAATTATTATTATCGTTCTTATCACTGACAGTGGATGTCAGGAAGCTGTAACCAACCAAGTAAGATTATTATTGTTACGGTTATAATAATTACATACCTATGTTCTGTAGAAAATTGTATCAGAAAATCAACCTAAACACTGATTAATGACTTTTAGGTATTATTTGAAATCGAGAGAGGTAATCGCAGAAACAGGACGATATTAGCTCTAAGGTGAATTGACATATTTATGCCATTGCAATCCGTTTTGAGTCACATTGCATGAAGGTTCCAAGTATCAATGTAAGTTTCCTCAGGTGTCTCAAATTATGAGGTTACACTTCAACACAGCTCATACTGACACCCCTCAACTAAGTTAAATGTCAAACCTGAATTTGAAACCGTGAGGCTTATACCGTCTCATATGTGGTGTGTTGAAGTTGGCAGTTGCATAGTATATGCATTACATGTTCCAATGAGTAAGATCGATACAAGCCTATAGCTTCATTAACTGACTACCTTTTTATGCCCAGCATTACATCTTAACACCCTTCACCTGACTGTTCTACCCTGTAAAAGGGTTTCCAAGGCAGTATACTGGAAAATTAGCAGGTATTTTTCTATCTTACCACATTGTGAAAAACAAAACAGTTATTTCGTATTCTTGTCGAGTTTTTGTCAACTAATGTTCTATCATTTCTTCAGCTATTACCAAACGAATTCTCAATATAGATCAGCCATGAGACAACATTTTGTTCGGTGAGAAATGCTCATCGGACACACGCATTTCTGCTCATGATGATCTAGTGAATTCGACCAACTAAAAAGACAGCCAATAATTTACTCCCATAGTGCCTTATAACTGCATTATTTTACCTAACACCTAATCTGTTACTTACATTCATTTAATAGCAAGTTTGATTGCACTGAACGAATAGTGACTTAAGTATGATTATCTCGTCATGAGATTCGCAGTTTTCAACTAAATCGATGATGTAAGGCAAAATGTTTCACATAGATTAACATTAGCAAATGGATGGAAAACAAGTATTTCCTTTTCATGAAAGCACTGTCACTGACGTTAGTGCTCCACCACATCAAAAAATTCAGTAAAATCTAGTCCTAAAATATTTGCATTCCTTTACCCGCAGATTTTCTTTTACGAGGTTTGATAACTTTCAAAGGATAGCTGAAGTTTTAATAAAGAAGCTGATCCCAAAGAATTGTACCAGTTTCATGAATATCCCTTATTCTCAACAGCTACGCCTTGAATTTGGAAAGAAAACTATGTATTATTTACAAAGTCATATCAGACATTGCGTCTTAGTGTTGGAGATAGTGCTAATTTAAATCCTCAGTTCAGTTACTATGAATATCTCATCTCTCTAAAATAATACTGTCTTCGACATATTACCGGAAAGTATGGTTCACAAAAATCCATACCCAAACGGTGATTTCAGTCAACCCCCATCTGATATCTTGTGTTCCCTGAACTTACCTTCCCCCATTTCCTATCACTTAAGTCTGTGCTGAAACCTCAGGATTACCATATAGATCCTAAGGCAATCTGGAGTTTTCCTCTCTTCTGATCGCTTGAAATGTAAAGAGGCACAAAAAGTACTCAACATGGCTGCACGTTTTTACAGACAAATTTTCAGCATTTCTAAAAGTGAATATTTGCTACTATTTTCGGACACATATACTCTTTTAAATCCAGCTAATCACTGAAGTGAAACTGTATTGTTCACCGGGGCTAAAGTTTAAGGTTTTGATGTACACCTTTTGTGAGATTAATCTGAATAACAGAATTGGTGAATTCTGACTAAGTATTGTTCATGAATCATACTTATACAGTTCATCTGTCACTGGTCACAATACAACCAATGAAGGTGGATTACCAACTATGATGAAGTAATTGTCTCAGCTCAAAATGAAATTATATTCTTAGTTGATTAAAATTATACTGTGCTCAAATTTCTGTTTCATGTAAACCGAGAATACTGCATTTAACCTCTATAATGAATACTAAATAATTCCATCACCAATGCAATGGGCTTATAGCAGCGTCATGGTTGTGTTTCTAAGCTGATAAACGACATATACTGCGTTGATTATATTTACTTAGAATGATGAAATTTGTAGTTCATAATTAGAATGATGATGGTTCAATGTTTTCCCCCTCTCTCTCTCTCTGATATTCTGTCGTGGACGTTTCATCACGGCTTGGTGGTATCCCCAGCATCAACTTCATAAAGGAGTCAAGAATGTTCAGGTACTACATTAGTGTCTGGATAGTGTTTTGCCAATCTTTAGTGTTGTTCTGGTGTATTTTGGGAAAATTTTTTTAATCACACCTTTACCTCTTTGATTTTACTTTCACTTCTGTCCTGTCGGGAGAGCACCTTTGTTAGAGTCTGACTGGGCCATTTCTTATTATCACTTTGTGCTTCAGTAATTGATTCGTTTGATAAGGAAAGCGTTTTCCACTATTGAACAAATGCAACTTTAATGCTATGCATTTGAAAAAATCGATAGAATTACCTTAACCAAGTTTTTATACTTGTTGGTAATTCTCAGGAAGGTATGCAAACTTGGCAGTCTGATTTCCCTATCCAGTGACCCAATTAAAGACATTATTCATCTGTTTAGATTGTTACTAACTTTTCATAGAACTACATTAGATACGATGATTAATCAATAGAGAGTAGTCAGTTTCATTTCACTCAATCCTCATTGCCAACTTTGTCTGGCGATGTTATACACTTTGCCATATTACTGTTTAAATACCTCCATCAGCTCTTATATAACTAAAATATCAAAGTCATAATGAAAAGTTAGCCGCTGTCGCAGCTGACATTGAATATAAGAAGGATCCCACATTCATTTACATTCCGTTAGAGTGAGTAATTCCATATTATGCCGTTACTGCAGACTTTTTATGCTGATAAGTGAAACGACAACGGTTTAGCATCGATGTAGTACTTTCTTCAGATATTAGTAATCTTTTCGGAAGGTTTTCAAGATGTGTATAGTCAGCAGTCAGTATTATAGTGCGACATGCGCACTGATTCATTCAAAGTCCTCATCATTTTTGGGGGGTTAATCACATTGACAAAGCTTAAATATAGATTACAGACAAGACTTAAACTGTTAATATCTTTTCTGTTAGTGCTTATTGTCTAATCAGAAGCTTTATTTAGACTTAACATTCATGAAATTCGTTCCTCAAAGCATATCATCGACATCTTTCTTTTTTATTCTTATAGAAATTGAAAGCCAATGAATCTTCACTAGACAAGAGTGAAAACACTGTTCATACCGGTCCACCACTGTCAACAAGTAAGTCTACAAAACAATCTACCTCATCCTGTATCGCTTCCTACATTACCTTGCTTTCTGCCAAACTGGCTAGCTGTGTCGTCCCAGTATAGAACTTCTGAACAGTGCTCACCCATGACCTCACTAGGGATCGAATCCAGGTATGACCTTTAGGTTTCGCGTTAAGCGCGCTGCCATTGAGCCGCTGGGTCCGAATTCAACGGTCCACATTTCACTACTTCTGTCAATCCCCCAAAACCTCCAAAATGAATAATCGTCCAGTGCTCATTAGTGACTTTCTTCGAGATGAGATTTCCCGAAGTTGTAATGAGAAGTCGTGACCGGTGAGGCAAACTAGGTTGGACTTGAGGATAAATACTCAACAACGGTATTGGATTAAGGTTGAGCAGTTTTGGTGATCGATAAAATGGGAAAATGTGGAGCATTGGAACCCGGCCCAATGGTTCAGTGGTGACGTATTCGCCATGAGGTCAGCAGGTATTTGACTCGATCTCTGGTGCGGTAATTGGTTCATACTGCCGGAGAATCCCTTTCTGAAGTAGTGTTCAACGGTTCAGTGAATATCCGGCTGACGTCATTCTATGTTGAATACCAGCGTGAGTACTTTGCTTTTGATACTTGTAATTCCCCGTTGTTATACATGGTTGAATGGCTTGACCTCTATTGTCCGATGGGCTTCTACACAGATATCTCGATACTGCCTTCTTACTCAGTATGTTGGTGTCTGCCTGATGGCTAGCAGTGTAATCCAAGACGCTCATTTCCTCCTGCTTGGGACTCACCAACTGAATATACCTACACTCCGATGAGTGATGTTCCCATTGAAACTCTAGCGTAGTACGCAACGCTTCGAACGCCAGAGCGTTATCCACTAGGCTACCGGGACACGATAGCTACTGCTTGTGCAACTTTTTTCGTGACATTTGTCTTCATTCCCTTTGGGTTAATGCAATAATTCAGGCCTCTTTCACAATCGTACAGTCATTATAGTTTTTATAATAATTTAGTTACTCGAATACATTAGGTTTGCAAAGGCTTAATTATTTCATAAGTCATGTGACTGAATGATAAGACCTGGTAAATTTCGATATGGTGTTGTATTGACCCACATGTTTCAGTGTTTGATATGATTGTTAACGTGTAATAATGGCCTTTTGAATTCGCAGTTTAAAATTGTCGAATAGTTTGTAGCGAGGGGGAAAAGTAATAAAATTGTTTCAAAATATTTATTCAACTTACAATGTTGGTATATTCTTTGGGTGATTATTAACTATAGTGTATCCTTGAGAAGACAAGAAATCTATAAGTGATAACTAACTGTGTAATCACGTTTAAGTCTGATTATTATTTAAACTTCTATTGCTAAAATGAATGAATCGGTTTTGCTATGCTATGATTTACAAAATATCTCATCATTGTTGAATTGTAGGTCCGATAAAAACGAAATGTTTGTTTTGAATTTGAGAGTTGTGTTTGTATTTCAAGATTGGTCAGTAATCTATGTTATATGTAATGATTTTGTCGAATAAAATGAGTTTTTTTTAAAGACTGTGAAACATCAGCTACGTAATCCCAATGATGTTACGCAGGCAAAAACTAGTTGACTACTATCATCTTAACAGGTTAAAATAGCCTTAAACACTGTTTTTGGGTACGCTGTAATACTAAATTAGTGCAATGTGGAGTCACATGAGTCTTGACTTCTACTTTATGTATAAACTAGTTTTATCATATGTAGTTAGATATGTGAAAGTTAATTTAGAAGTGTTTACTACAGTGAATCATGTTTCGCATGTGGTATGTACCTTCAGTACTGCCGGTTCAATAAAGAATTTCACCTATCTGTTTTCAGATAACCAGAGTTTACTCTGAAGGTCTTTGGGGATGTGGGGTTATTTTTTGATCTCAGGTTGGTATTCGTCATTGACTGATATCAATTGGATGCCTCGGAGCATTGGACGTATATTTCGTCTTCAGCGGTGCGGACTGATGACCTCGCCATAGATCGAACTCAGGACCTTCAAGTCAAGTGGTCAGCACGTTGCCGTTGACGTCATGGGTGCACACTGCTGAGTCCCATACTAGGACTAAACAGCTGTACAGTGCTCCTAGGTGTCGAATGCTTCTCTAGCTAATATCAGTTCATGATGAGTACCAAACTGAAATCAGAATTTAATAAATTATTCCACGCACTAACTATATGCAAGCTCGTGCACTTAGCTGCGATATTACTTGAAAGCCTAAGCCTTAACGAATATAAAAGGTTTATAACCCCTAAATGATCCGTAAGGTAACTGTCCATGACTTTCAATTTTCAGTTTGTCCAGGCTTTTCAGAGTAGTATGGTGTACCATGTTGTACTATCTTCCGAAACTCTTTCATTTTCACGCTGTTACATTATTTATTGATAAAGTACTGCAAAAATAAACCATCTTTACCTAATGAATTTATGAATAAATTCATGATGAATAAGTCTTTTAAATTCACATTGAAATGTTATTTGTTATTATTGCTTGTTTTACTTTTAGGTTTAGGATATGGATTTCTGTGTATAACACTAGTCAATTTAAGTGCTCTGTTGGGTGTTATATTTACAGTTCTCAAAAAATACAGTTTCTTTCCTACACTACTTTCATTTATGGTTGCTACTGCTGTTGGCTCACTATTATCTACTTCTATAATTGTACTTATACCAGAGGTAAGCAATGTATATATCCTTATTAGTATGTAAATGTAGCACGATGCTTTTCCTTTCTATGTATGCTGTTTACACCACGTGTTTTATTTCACTGATTCCATCTTATGTACAGTTAAAATGGATAGAATCCACTTTATGAGCTATGACGATGTTCAATTTTAGGGTTTTATCTTTATATAAGCTCATCACGGCTGGTAGTTTTGTTTAAGTTAGCGTGTTGTATGATCCTAGGAAAAGATTATCCTCGATGACACCTTAGACATGTGTTATTCACTTCAAGTAATAATGTGTATTGAATATTCTTAAAAGTAAATTATGTAACTTTCTAATACTCATCAATTTTGGATCTTTTTCAAGTGATAAAAGAGTCATTCTCACTGTTGAACAAAACGTTCGAAATTGATTAGTAAGTAGTATGGTAGTATAACATCTCAGTGCATATAATACTTACAATTAGTTACGCTACAACATCCAGTTGTTATTATTTCTCAATATTTGATGCTTTGATAAATTTACCTCCTGTTTAGTAGCTTTAAAAACTCGTGGTGGTTACGTTTATTTTGGTAAAGTTTTGAGATGTCACTTCATCTAGCTAATGAGTCTCAAATAGGATGAAACACGCGTCCTAGATTTCACTGCTAGTCACTATCTATCATTAATATCAAAATTGAACATAACTTTAGTGTTATTTATGTCTATCTTGCTCTTGATCACCTAATCACTACTTGTACGTCATATCATAGTATTTAGTTTGTTAGCAATAGATGGGTGAAAGAGTAGAAAATTAACACTTATCAATCAAAGGTAGCATAGCCTAAGCTTTTGAGTGTTCATGGCCAAATACAATTGTTTAATAACATATACATGTATACAGTAGAAGCGAAAACATTCAAGTCAACAGAATAGATAAGAAATTTTATAGACGAAAGTAAAACTACGATACATGTATCTACACATATGAATTGTTGATTAGTAGTATAATAGATTTGAAAATAGCAAATAAAATTCATAAATGAGCCTCAAACCATTAGTTTTTCATTGTGCTACTAAAAAAATTATATTAACTTTTAGACTATGGATATTTTCATCACAAGCTAGTTAAGTTAGCATCTACAAACAACCAGTAAATTATCATCATGCTAAAAGCAAATTGTCAGTAGTAAACTACTTTCAAAGACGATTAAGATCAGAAAAAAAAAGTTTCAATTCTTGGTTGATATGGTTTATACGCATCCAACTGTGCTAATCTGTTTATTAAAAAAATATTCCTTACGTCTCTATATCAACACTCGATGACTACATTATTATGTATTATTATTATTTGTCCCTTGGTTTCCTAGTGGAACACACACCTTCAGTAGCACGTCACCATTTCAATATGTCTTCTACACTCTTTTCAAACTGGCTCCACCACTACCCAGAAACTTTCATTTCTTCCTCATATGATCTCCCCCATGTCACCATCCCCTCGGACGCCCAACTCGTCATTTCCCATTTGCATTCCACTCGATGACCTAGCCTGACGCATGATGTCCCCAAATGGTCTTCTCAGTGTATACCCAGTCCATACCCACTTTCTTCTTCTGCATATTTGTTGGGCGATGGCTTCTTAGTTGGTTCGTTGTCCGACCAAACCTCCTTGTTGCTCATCCCTACTATTCTGGCCATCCATCTGATCTTTATCTTCACTATCGAGTCAGTGTAGGCGGAAGCTGTTGAGGAATGTCTGCATTTTGTTGGGAATGCTTTGCGTGATGCGCCAAGTCTACCAACCATCACATAGAAGCACTGACTGACTTGACTGACATTGGTGCTGAAAATCTCGATCTTGTTCCACATGCTGAGTCCAGTAGATCTCCATACTGGTTTCAGATTAATCAAGGCCTGTCTCGCTTTTCCGATCCTGACTGGCTTTGACGTCCTCATCGCTGCCGCTATCGCTGTCGCTGCCACTGCCACTGCCACCTGTAGTTGAGACGATGCTGAATAGGCGGTAGGTGAAAGAGACAACTTCCTTCAGACTTCTCCCGTTCATGGTGATTGGTGTTTCTTGTTGATACTGTTGTTGCTTAGGTATCTTCATCACCTCTGTCTTCTCTACCTTCACCTGAAGGAAGTCCCGTCTTCCTTCGCTGCCTCACCTCTTCTGTCAACTTCTTGCTTTTTGCCTGTACATCTTCGACTTTGTGCTACAGAATACATTAGACATAAATCATCATCGGTGGCGGCATCCAAATCTTCTTGTGGGGTCTCTCCATCCATCCAACCAGCGTATGCTCATCCCCTCGCTCCTCACAGTTTCTTGCATCATCCAGTCGACCACAATCAGGAAGATCATCGGTGATGACAGTAGGCGGCAACCTTCTCCTACTCATGTCTCCACTTCACTTCAAAGGCATCATCACTGAGCTTCCCATTGTCAATCACTTCGCATGTGACATCATATCCGATATAGCTGTTGAATGAGGTTGATAAAGGTTTAAGGCAGTAAAACCGTAGTGTTGAAGTAAGCAGCTGTCTGCCAGATTACGTTTCAGTCGACGCTGTCGAAGGCCTTTTCAAAATCGATGAAGTTCAGGTAGAGAGTTGACTGCCATTCTACTCTCTGTTCTATGATGATGCGTAGTGTAGCGTTGCAATTTGATCCGCACATGATTTGTTCTTCCTGAAGCCAGCCAGCCAGCCAGCCAGCCAGCGTGTTCCGGTGTTAATTTTGAACCCGGAGCATTGTTTAGTCTCTTACGGGATGATGCGGTATAATATTTTGCTTGGTGTGGACAGGAGCATGATTCCTCACCAGTTCTCGCTAAGGCGTAAGAATGATTACATGATGACCTTCATTTTTATCCTTAATTAATGTTTCTTTGTTATGTAGATATAAATCAGTGAGACTGTGATTTAGTGGTGTACGTAATGGAATTTAAACCAAGTAGATTACCGATTTGAACCCCACTCTACTAACGAATGTGTTCTAGGTAGCCAGGTGGTACCATAAAGTGTGGCTCATTGGCTACTGTATAAAAGTGCATGTGATTACCGAGTGCATTTCGACTTGTTTTAGAAGTCGGTAATATGTAGTCATATCGTTATTACGGATCAAATATAAAATTCTGATATAATTTCATGTATGACCAGGTTTTCAGTCTTTTTCATATCTCAATACTATGGACAGTTATGTATTTAAGTATTGTCTATCAATGATTACCGGTCAATTATAATATAAGAGTTTGGCATTCACCTTTAGCATTATCTGTTGAAAAAGCTTTTTTAGGAAATCTACATGAATAACTTATTATTAAAGTTTGTCTATTTGAAACTATTTTATTCTGTTTATTTATCCTAATCATTCATGTTAATAACTTATACTTTAACATATTTTTCTTTTTGAATGGTTTTTTCCTACTATTAGGCATTAGAAATCGTTGGTAAATCGGATGACAATCATCCTTTGGGGGGCCATTGGTATGTCACTAAGTCGATAGCCATATGTGCAGGTGTCTTATTTTTCTACATCTTAGAATTCCTTCTACGTCTTCTTCCACGATGCTTTTCGGTAAGTAAAAAAAAATACATGTCCTACTTTTAATTTGACAACTTTACAAGTAATCAAAGTAAGTTTGGCAATGACATTTCCTTTGTATTCTTCAAGCCTCACTACTTCATCATGGATGTTACATCAGTGAATACTTTATACAGAAGAATTCTTGTCGAGTTTATACTTTGAGACATTCCTAAATAAAATTTAGTAAGTCGCAGTTTCACTTAGTTACCAAGGAGAAAAACCAAAGAAAGAGATGGGCTGATCACTTCAAAAAACTGTTCAGTCGACCACCACCTGCAACTCGTTAAGAAATACCACCAGCAGCCCAGCCGCAGAACTATCAGTGAACATAAACCCTCCAAAAAAGCCAGAAGTCCTGAACGCAACAAAATTCCCAAAAGCCCGTAAAGCAGCAGGACCAGATAGAATCCCTCCAAAAGCTCAGAAAACAGACGCAGAAATATCAGCAGACATCCTCACACCACTATTACAGAAAGTTTGCAAGCAAGAAAAGAAAGGCACCTGCATATTGGAAAAAGGGCTACCTTGTCAAACTCCCAAAGAAGGGAGACCTAACCCTTTGCAAGAACTGGTGCGGAATCATGCTCCTGTCCACACCAAGCAAAATATTATACCGCATCATCCCGCAAGACTAAGAAATGCTTCGGGTTCAAAATTACCACCGGAACACGCTGGCTGGCTGGCTGGCTGGCTGGCTTCAGGAAGAACAAATCATGTGCGGATCAAATTGCAACGCTACACTACGCATCATCATAGAACAGAGAGTAGAATGGCAGTCAACTCTCTACCTGAACTTCATCGATTTTGAAAAGGCCTTCGACAGCGTCGACTGAAACGTAATCTGGCAGACAGCTGCTTACTTCAACACTACGGTTTTACTGCCTTAAACCTTTATCAACCTCATTCAACAGCTATATCGGATATGATGCCACATGCGAAGTGATTGACAATGGGAAGCTCAGTGATGATGCCTTTGAAGTGAAGTGGAGACATGAGTAGGAGAAGGTTGCCGCCTACTGTCATCACCGATGATCTTCCTGATTGTGGTCGACTGGATGATGCAAGAAACTGTGAGGAGCGAGGGGATGAGCATACGCTGGTTGGATGGATGGAGAGACCCCACAAGAAGATTTGGATGTCACCGCCGATGATGATTTATGTCTAATGTATTCTGTAGCACAAAGTCGAAGATGTACAGGCAAAAAGCAAGAAGTTGACAGAAGAGGTGAGGCAGCGAAGGAAGACGGGACTTCCTTCAGGTGAAGGTAGAGAAGACAGAGGTGATGAAGATACCTAAGCAACAACAGTATCAACAAGAAACACCAATCACCATGAACGGGAGAAGTCTGAAGGAAGTTGTCTCTTTCACCTACCGCCTATTCAGCATCGTCTCAACTACAGGTGGCAGTGGTAGTGGCAGCGATAGCGATAGCGGCAGCGGCAGCGGCAGCGATGAGGACGTCAAAGCCAGTCAGGATCGGAAAAGCGAGACAGGCCTTGATTAATCTGAAACCAGTATGGAGATCTACTGGACTCAGCATGTGGAACAAGATCGAGATTTTCAGCACCAATGTCAGTCAAGTCAGTCAGTGCTTCTATGTGATGGTTGGTAGACTTGGCGCATCACGCAAAGCATTCCCAACAAAATGCAGACATTCCTCAACAGCTTCCGCCTACACTGACTCGATAGTGAAGATAAAGATCAGATGGATGGCCAGAATAGTAGGGATGAGCAACAAGGAGGTTTGGTCGGACAACGAACCAACTAAGAAGCCATCGCCCAACAAATATGCAGAAGAAGAAAGTGGGTATGGACTGGGTATACACTGAGAAGACCATTTGGGGACATCATGCGTCAGGCTAGGTCATCGAGTGGAATGCAAATGGGAAATGACGAGTTGGGCGTCCGAGGGGATGGTGACATGGGGGAGATCATATGAGGAAGAAATGAAAGTTTCTGGGTAGTGGTGGAGCCAGTTTGAAAAGAGTGTAGAAGACATATTGAAATGGTGACGTGCTACTGAGGGTGTGTGTTCCACTGGGAACGCATGGGACGTAGATTGACATGTGGCAGTTTATGTCTACTGTAGCTAAATAATTCTGTCTGTGACTTTCAGGTACGTTGCCTTTTTTTGTGCATAATATCGTAATGTTTTCCACGCTGGTTTGGTGGTTTTTGTGCAGTGGCTCAGTGATTTCAACGAATATTTTCGGTGACATTGTACTGTGTGCAGCCGACTTTGTGTTTAGAAGACTTACACGCGACTTCACTGGGTCTCCAGTGTCCTATTCTCACTTCATAAATCATATGTTAATTCTTTTTGTATTGAGATAAATCTTCAATCCTAATATTCCTTCAATCGCTGAGATAAATTGTTGCAAGCGGAATGAATATGTCTTTTATTTGCTTCCGTGATGATTTGGTGCTCATCTACTTTTCTGACTGTATGTTTATTATTTTGTCCTTCGATTATTGGTCAATCCTCAGATGTAGTCGAGACTGGAATACAGTGGCTACTTCCTTGTCTATTGATTTAAAAGAGACGATATATTATTTGACCATCTGATATAGCCGTAGTTTGGGATACTATTATTTGTATTGGGTGATGACTGAGGGTGTAATTAAAATCTGCACCGCAGTCGGACTCGAACCAGTGACCATACGAGTTTGAGTACAATCACTGTCCAGATTTTCATCTTACTTTCAATCATCACCCAGTATGGAGACAACATATTTTTAGCTTAAAAAAATTTTAGATTCATGACCATAGTTATATAAAATGTTGTTTTTGATAACCTTTTTCATGACTGACGGTAAGTCGGGATGAAATATCCTCACGAATAACGTTATGGTTAGGAAATTCATGTTTCAGCAACAGTTGGACCTATCTTTGTGGGTATTTTTTGTGATCTTAAAGTTAAAATTTCATATGATCTACTAGTCTCATTCGACTTAAGTTGCATGTTATTTCATCTGATCATATTTGGCAAACACTTTGTAGTTAATTTTTCTGTATACATTTGTTGGTTTATGCATGTTAAAACTTTTTCTGTCAATGTTAAGTACCACATTCATGATTTTGTTTTGTGTAACATTTTTAAACAAACCAGCATTACATTTTATAAACAAATATTCTAGTTTCAAAAAATTAATTTATGCTTGTATGGGTATATACGTTAACCTTGTTCAGTTTAATGGGCGATTCACTCAGCTAAGATCAGTTTCCAGTTATGTTATGAAAGCCGTACTTCGAAATGTTGGTGAATCCAGCGTGAAACTGATCACTTTCTAAATAAGCAACAAATGAATTGGATATTGATCAACTAGTTTAAACTTTCATTATCACCATCATCGTCAATATCAACACAGAACCAGACATTACTGCGCAGCGGTCCAAGTTACCACATCTCTTATCAACACATCAATCAAGTCATTAGATGAAAGATGAAGGAAGAGAGAAGAACCGGTCAAAAAAGGTAGGAAGTAATAAAAGAGAAGTAGGAGTAATGAGAAAATGATGAGACTAAGTATAGCGGTAAAGATGAGGATAATGTGTGTATATATATGAGCCGTTGACATCGGTTCTGAGCGATATCACTTAGAGTTTCCAGTCACTGGTTTCTTTTGTCTCGTGTACCCCAACCGGCTAGTCTGAATTGCCATATATGGCTCAAACCAACAGTCAAGGACCTCATCCATTGATGCCACGCTTTAGTTTGGCCACCCCGATCCGTTTTCCAGCCTGAACCTACTTTGGCCAACATTGTGCGACAAGGCAGACGAGAACTAGACATACGTAACACATATCTCAACCATCTGAGTCGGTGACGGCTTATAACTGCATCAACTATCTTACCTCTCCCACCTAAAACTTTACGCCTGACTTCTGCGTTACTCACGTGGTGACACCACGACATGTGGCCTTTGCTAAGAAAACAACAGTTCTCAAATACTTGAAGTCGTCTCATGTGCTGTACCTTTAATGGCCATGTTTCACATTCATAGAGTAGAATAGAGGGGACTTCAGCATAGTACAATCGACACATATTAGACAGTCTGATATCATGGCAGCACCACAGATGGCGTAAGTTGATGAAAGCCAATCAAGCGTTTTGTATCCGTGCAGAGATTTTTTTCTGTCACTAACCCACTAGGACTGATCTGACCTCTCAGGTAAGTGATATATTTAGCGCACTCAACCACTTCACTCCCTACTATTATAAAACGCACGACTGAAAACTAGTCCAGGAGCAACAGTTTCCAACTGAGTGGTTCAAAACGTATTTCACACATTCTCAATTTACCCTTGAAGGTGTCCAAAAGATTGCATCTTGTCAACGTCTTCACCTAACAGGACTATTTCATCTGCATACTCTAGATCTACCAGGGATTCTCCTTTGATGAAATCAATCCATGTGAAGCCAGACGACCACAGTGAGACCTCCAATGGAGCATCAATATGACAAAATTGAATAGGAATCGAGGATGGACGTCCTTGACGGGCACCACTCGATTTACGCAGCTCACCTGACAATTTAGGGTTTGTTAATTCATCCTGCAGTTCTGTAAAAAGGTAAAGTACAAATTCCATAATCGTCGAACACGTTAAATCATGAAGGGGAGAAGTTTGGCTTTACACTTACTAACAGGAAGAAGCTGACTACCGTTTGGTCTTATCCTTGACTGACTATTTGTCGTCCGATGATTGAATTTTGTGTTACCTTAATCCCGTCTCTTGTTTATGACTGAGGGTTTACTCCTCTATTCTGCTCATAAACAACTAAATTTATTCACATTTCCGTCTTATAACTTTCATTTAGCTGGAATTCCAAGATGGTGGTCAAGTGAGTATAACGAGTCAATAAGGGTCACAGTCATGAATAAATATCATTTTGACCATTCCAGACCAATACTCGTTTAATCAAATGCCAAAAAAGTACTAATACTTACACGTTGCCTATACAACAAAAAACCTGTTTGACTGTAGTTG